GGCTCGGTGGTGCCATACTGTGCTTCCAGCTCGGTTGGCTGCCATACTGTGCTCCAGGCTCGGTGGTTGCCAATACTGCGGTCCAGGCTCGGTGGCTGCCTTTACTGTGCTCCAGGTCGGTGGATGCCCCTTACTTTGCTCCAGGCTTCGGTGGCTGCCATTACTGTGCTCCAGGCTCGGTGGCTGCCATACTGTGCTCAGGCTCGGTGGCTGCCATACTGTGCTCCCAGGGCTCAGGTAGAGACTAGCACCATACAGTGCTCCAGGCTCGGTGGTTGCCATGACTGTGCTCAGGTCGGTGGCTGCCATACTGTGCTCAGGCTCGGTGGCAGCCATACTGTGCCTCCAGGCTCGGTGGCTGCCATACTGTGATCCAGGCTCGGGTGGCTGCCATACTGTGCTACCAGGCTCGGTGGCTGGCCCTACTGTGCTCCAGGCTTCGGTGGCTGCCATACTGTGCTCCCAGGCTCGGTGGCTTGCCATTACTGTGCTCAGGCTCGGTGGCTACATGTACTGTGCTCAAGGCTCAGTTGGTTTGCCTTACTGTGCTCCTGGCTCGGGTGGTTGCCATACTGTGCTCCAGGTCGGGTTGGTTGTCATATGTGCTCCAGGTCGGTGGCTGTCATTTTTACTGTGACTCAGGCTCGTTGGCTTGCCATACTGTGCTCCGGACGGTTGGCTGCCTATGTGCCCCAGGCTCGGGTGGCTGCCTTACTGTGCTCCAGGCTCGCGTGGCTGCCATTACTGTGCTCCAGGATCGGTGGCTGCCATACTGTGCACCAGGATCGGTGCTGCATACTGTGCTCCAGGCTCGGTGGCTGCCATTTACTGTGTCCAGGTCGGTGGTTGCCATCTGTGCTCCAGGCTCGGTGGGTGCTATACTGTGCCTCAGGCTCGGGGCTGCCATACTGGTGCTCCAGGCTCGGTGGCTGACATACTGTTGCCCAGGCACGGTGGGTGCCTTACTGGCTCAGGCTCGAGTGGTTGCCATTACTGTGCTCCAGCTCGGTGGGTGCCATACTGTGCTGTTCTGGTCGGTGGCTGCCATTACTGTGCTCCAGGCTCGGTGGCTGCCATACTGTGCTTCCAGGGCACGGTGGCTGTCATTCTGTGCTCCAGGGCTCGGTGGCTGGCTGCCATACTGTGCTCCAAGGCTCGGTGGGTTGGCTATACTGTGCTCCAGGCTCGGGCTGCCATACTGTGCTCCAGGCTCGGTGGCTGCCATACTGTGCTCCAGGCTCGGTGGGTGCCATACTGTGCTCCAGGCTCGGGGCTGCCATACTGTGCTCCAGGCTCGGTGGCTGCCATACTGTGCTCCAGGCTCGGTGGCTGCCTACTGTGCTCCAGGCTCGGTGGCTGCATTACTGTGCTTCCAGGCTCGGTGGCTTGCCATACTGTGCTCAGCTCGGTGGGTTGCCATACTGTGCTCGGCTCCGGTGTTTGCCCATTACTGTGCTCAGGCTCCGGTGGTTGTCATACTGAGATCCAGGGCTCGGGTGGTTGTCATACGTCGCTCAGGCTCGGTGGCTGCCATACTGTGCTCCAGGCTCGGTGGCTGCCATACTGTGCTCCAGGCTCGGTGGCTGCCATACTGTGCTCCAGGCTCGGTGGCTGCCATACTGTGCTCCAGGCTCGGTGGCTGCCATACTGTGCTCCAGGCTCGGTGGCTGCCATACTGTGCTCCAGGCTCGGTGGCTGCCATACTGTGCTCCAGGCTCGGTGGTGCCATACTGTGCTCCAGGCTCGGTGGCTGCCATACTGTGCTCCAGGCTCGGTAGGCTGCCTACTGTGCTCCTGGCTCGGTGGTGCCATACTGTGCTCCAGGCTCGGTGGCTGTCATACTGTGCTCCAGGCTCGGTGGCTGCCATACTGTGCTCCAGGCTCGGTGGCTGCCATACTGTGCTCCAGGCTCGGTGGTTGCCATACTGTTGCTCCAGGATCGGTGGCTGTCTACTGTTTGCTCAGGCTCGGTGGTGCCATACTGTGCTCCAGGCTCGGTGGCTGTCAATACAGTGCTCAAGGCTCGGGGCTTCATATTGTGCTCCAGGCTCGGTGGCTGCCATTGTGCTCCAGGCTCGGTGGCTGTCATACTGTGCTCCAGGCTCGGTGGCTGCCATACTGTGCTCCAGGCTCGGTGGCTTAATCACATTATATCCATGGGAAGCTCCCCTCCCCCCCCGGCCTCACATCAAAGAACATACAAGTTACTTATCACTTTAATAATCTTATAAATTAAGCAATTTATTTAATAATTTACTCTGAGAAAAAAATACATTTAGTATTTAAATTACGTAAACAAAAATACTGAGAGGCACAGATGAAAAAGACAGGTATAATATGCAATCGCTCAAAATATGAACACAGATGACGAAATTATATACAAAAAACATACAAATTAAAAAATTAACAGTAAATTTATATACATGCACATTATATATATATATATATATATATATATATATATATATATATATATATATATATATATATATATTGTGTGGTGTGTGTGTGTGTGTGTGTGTGTGTGTGTGTGTGTGTGTGTGTGTGTGTGTGTGCAAAACAAGACACAGGGGGTTGAAATCTTTAGCTCAAGCACTCTCATACTTCTCGGTGCTTCATCAGAAGCTATGCAATGTTGCAAGGCAGCAACTGAAACAGGGGAAGTTTTCTCATAGCACAGTGTGGGTGTGTCACCGGCCGCAGCTTCTCTCAGAATGTGGGCAACAGTCGGTGCTAACTCCACACCACCACCCTCCCCCTACTCCCCATTTGGGGTAGTAGGGTTTTTGAGATGTCAAGTATTATGAAATTAGAAGATATTATTGCCAGCCCCAAGCTTTTTCTAGCCACTTCCAAAAGGTCGTGTGACTTGAGAAAATATTATTTCATTGGATACTATATATATGGATTGTTATTATTTTATGTAACCTTTTTGTCTGTTTAAATGTCCTCCTCTGGGGCACTCGAAAGTTCCCAAGGGTACTCAGAAGTATCTCTTCCTTTATATTGTTTACTATCCTTCTCAGTGTCGGTTAATATGCCTTACTTTGGAATCTTCTATACCATTCCAATAATATTTCTATGATCCAAATTTCTACTTCTAATACCCTTTAACCCCACTACCTATGTTATCCCGTAATCTTGTGTACCTGTCAATGTATGGTACAGTAACAGCTAAACGTCTCATATAACCATTCACAACTGACGTAACTCGAAGTTTTGGTACGCAGACACAGGTCGAATGTCACCAATCCATCATGAAACCACCTGGCATAATGAGCATTCCTGTGATTTTGTATAGCTTTGTTGTTTAAGATTGTGTACAACAGACTACTAAATAGCTATTGAGCTTGAATAACCCATAATTTGAGTTATATACTGTATTCCTTTCATGTTTCAAGAGAGAAGGTTCAATTATGTTTCTATCCATGTCAGAACTGTTTGGTACAATAATCTGGGCAGCATCCCACTTCGGTGGGTGATTACAGGAGCTAACATGGTTAAAGATATCGTTCAACTCCTGCCCTGTCCTCAGTATTTATGTTGAGCTATTCTGGTTTCCAGCAATTTACCTGTTTGACCAATATATGAGAGAGGACACCGAGTACATGGGACCTTGTAAACCCCACCAACTTTGTTGAAGGGTGTGTTTTTAATCGGCCTTTGCTTCACAGTCACTGTTTTTTTTAAAGCAAGGTTGATATTGATCTATTTCAATGCCTCATGCAGGCATGTGGGCACCTACCACTGCCCACATTCTGAGAGAAGCTGCAGCCAGTGATACACCCACACTGTGCTACTCTGAGAAAACTTTCTCTGCTTCAGTTGCATAACTCCTGATGATGCACTGAGAAGTGTGAAAGTACTTCATCTAAAGATTTCCATCCCCTGTGGCTTGTCTTGCTTATTATATATATAATAATATATATATATATTTATATATATATATATATATATTATATATATATATATATATATATATATAAATAATGTTATGTCGAATAGGTAAAATTGGTCGATTAGTAAGAACTCATTTAAAATTAAGTCCTTCCTAAAATTTTCTCTTATACGTTTAAGGGTATATATATTTTTTTAATTTATGTTAACATAAAAATTAATAATTTCGTACCAAATGAACCTTAGAAAACTTACCTTACCTTATTATAACAAGCACAATTTAATTTAGCCTAATCCAACTAAATAAATATTAGATAAGTTTACAATAATTTAATAATAAATAAGCACAATGAAATATATTTTTTTCGTTAGGTTCAGAATAATTTTTGCGAAATTATTGCATACACAAATTTTTGCTTGCCTTATTTGGCGAAAAGAGCACTGCTATTTAAGCCAATATCGCAAGTTTTACCTATTTCGCACGACATATATATAAACATTTAAAGCTACGCTGCTGAGAGCTTGGGTAGTTACTGAACAACATTCCAGTGTACTGGGACTGGGTTCAACAACGTTGGTTATTATAGTGCGACTGCACAAGCCAACTGTTCCAAGAGTTTGGTCCTAGTGACCATGCACAAGCCATGAAATTCTGCAACTGACTGGATGAACACTTGCTCCAGTTATAACGAAAATAAAAACAAAAAGTAGTAGGAAGAGGGGGGGGGGAACCTGCCAACTTCTTAAAGGTCTTCCTTCAGGAACCAGCCGGGCTGTGGCTCGTACGTTGGTTTGCGTGCAGCCAGCAGTAACAGCCTGGTTGATCAGGCTCTGATCCACCAGGAGGCCTGGTCACAGACCGGGCCACGGGGGCGTTGACCCCCGGAACTTTCTCCAGGTAAATTCCAGGTATGTTTATTTACAATGCATTTACTTTCTTGAGTTGAGAGTACACGGGAGTACGTGGGAGTACATAAGAATGACATATGTCAGACCACTTGGAAGCCCAAACTGAGGCTATCCGTTGAGAACTATCTACTATCTATATTATGGACTATCCTGTATTATCTAGGTATGAAAGAGAGAAAAAGAGTCAGTCTCACCTTGAGCTCCCTGCAGGGTACAGAGACCACGATGAGTTCCTCCAGGGGCGTGATCTCCCTGGAGAGCGCCCTGGACCTGCGTCTGGGGGTGGAACGGGGGCTCACCCTGGGGGAGGCTCTGGGGCTCACTCTTGGTGAGGAGCGGGGGCTGGCACGCGGGGAGGAGCGGGGAGAGACCATGGGGCTGCCCCCCAGGTCCTCCCCCAGGTAAGTGAAGGGGGTGAGGCTCTCGCTCATTACCCCCAGGGGGCCGCGCCCCTCCACCATCTCCCTGGCCACCATGGGGGAGAGGTAGTCGGTGCTCCCTCGCCCCTCCTCCCTCTCTCCCCACTCCACCGCCACCGCCACGGCGCACACCGCACCCGCATCTACCGTCCGCAACGCAGCTGCCGCAGGTGGCGACAGATCGAGCCGCAGGTAGCGACAGATCAAGCCGCAGGTGGCGACAGATCAAGCCGCAGGTGGCGACAGATCAAGCCGCAGGTGGCGACAGATCAAGCCGAAATTGGCAAAAGATCGCGCGCCGCCACAAGCGGCCGCAATCTAACCAACCAATCAAATGATAAAGTGTTTTCTAGCGACCTTGTGTTGCATGAAGCCAGCCACTCCAACACATGTCAACACTTTCCGCTTCACCCCACTTATAAGGTTACCCACGCAGTCTCCATAGTTGTACACAGTTTCACCTCTACCACACACAGTGTTTCACTGCTATACAGTGTTTCACCTCTCCTACACACAGTGTTCCACCTCTCTTATAGTCATGTGTAAAAACCATCAGTGACAAACTCCAGTAGCACCTTCACTGCCGCACGCGGTGGTGACCTGGAGGGTAAATCGTTCTCTTGACACCTGAAAGATTAAAACACTTCATAGCTAGCCAGGTCTTGCAATCCTCGTATCAAAATGGAACACAACACCGACCAGGTGATAAGCAGGACGCGTGTGCAACACCCGGATATCTTCACTGACTGACGTTGTGCCTGACCAGCAACCTTCGTCAGTCAAATACAAAGTCGTGGGGATGGAGACTGTATAACGTTGATCTAAGGATAGTTGTGGTTACCAATGTCGTACCGCAATGAAACGAAGACAAACACGTTACGTACATGTGACATAGTAAGGCTAGGAAAACGTGTACACTGCTCAGTGATGTACACGACGATAGCACGTACACCATGCTAGGATGCACACGATGCTAGGAAGAATACACTATTTCTTTTCCTCTCTACCTCCTTCCCTGCCATCCCTCCCTGCCACTACTCCCTACGGTCCAAACAGTGGTGCGACCAACACCACACTTAATCACTTCTCTGCTGATTACCTGCCAAAGTTAATTACGTGTGGCCTGTGCCAGGTGGTACGCCAAATGTGGCCACCCCTTCCACACTATGTGGCCAGGGTGGTGTGACACCAAACACGTCGTCTATACAAAAACTTACCTAACTTTGTAAGATGTGACCTGACCAAGTGTCTGGCTACAATGTTCTGAAAAGAAGAAGAAGAAGAAGAAGAAGAAGAAGAAGAAGAAGAAGAAGAAGAAGAAGAAGAAGAAGAAGAAGAAGAAGAAGAAGAAGAAGAAAAAGAAGAAGAAGAAGAAGAAGAAGAAGAAGAAGAAGAAGAAGAAGAAGAAGAAGAAGAAGAAGAAGAAGAAGAAGAACAGGAGCGTGTCACCACACACCATTAATGGTACAGTTCAGCTCCAGTGATCAACCCGTCCAACGAAAAAATTGTCCTCTATTAAATAGAGTCGAGCAAATGGTGGTTACTTTTAATCTCCTCTCTCTCTCTCTCTCTCTCTCTCTCTCTCTCTCTCTCTCTTTTCTTGCCTTTATTTCACTCTTTCCTCCTGCTTCTCCTGCTATTACTGATACTATCACATCTACTTCCGTTACTACGAGAATTATTACTACGATACTAATATTATTACCAAGAGTATTACTAGTATTATTCTACACTGAGGAAGATGCCTTGATACATGGTCTTAATACTCTAAAATTCAGGGGTCCACAACCTGCGGCCCGAGGGCCGCATGTGGCACTTTCTAGGAAATGGATGCGGCCCTCACACGAAATTATGAACTCACTTTTATGTAAGTTCCACACTGCAGTGTCAACAAAACCGTGCGGCCCACGTCACACAATTTGACCATCAAATGTGGCCCACTTGTGTAGGAAGGTCGAGAGGCTCGTAAGTTTCCACGTCTTCTAATAACATGCTCATTTTTCCACTGTAATCTACATTGTCCATAATTAGTATCGCATTTACTTTGTCTGTTTCGTAAGGTCAAGTCTAGGATCTTTAATTCATAGGATAATTGTTAAGTTATGCCATGAATTAAAGAAAGATCCTAGACGTTACCTTACGAAAGAGACAAAGTAAATGCAATAGTAATTATGGACAAGGTAGATTACAGTGGAAAAATGAATATGTTATTAGAAGACGGGGGAACTTACGAGCCACTTAAGGACCTCTGCAATCTAAATAATTTCCCTAACGACGAACGTCACAAATAACGTTACAAACGGACGTGTTTATGAATGTGACCATAAAGAGAGAGCGTCTGAGCGAAAGGTGTTTGAGGGTTGGAGGTTACGAGGTTAGGTTAGGTAAGGTTTGTCAGGAAAGAGGACAAGCGTGTCCTGATGAGGGTTTTAGTCACATGATAGCCCGAAGTTGGAGCTTTTGGTCACTTGACCGAGGCCTTCCGCTGGCCTACCCGTCCACCCCTTTAAAAATTACGAGGCTCACCAGTAGTAGTTACGCCAAGATGTGGGCTAAGGCGTGTACACAGCACATCGTCAGTATTTAACCTTCCTCACGGTGGAAATGATGAGAAATTAAAATGTACGTGTCAGTTAGTAACCTTCCAGACAATAAATGTATAAGTGGTGATCGGAATACAACGTCTGTATAAGACTCACTTGTCCACACTTGTTTGTACTCACACTTGTGCCTATACTTCAAGCGTCCACACACTTGAAAAGAACTTTCAGCTCACGACGTCGAGTGAACTGATAGTGACAGCCACCGCTGATGGCCCGACTTGGCACCTGTGGTGTGGCCAGGCTGGCACAGGTGTGTCTCATGACATAGATTTCTGCCCCTCCCCTCCCCTGCACTCATACTCACCCACCCTCCACACAGGTGCTCAGAGTAACCATCAAACACCACCTGCGGTACATGATGTGGTTGTATTGACAGATGTCAATACCATCACACTCACACAACCTGCTAGTGAGAGACTGACTCCAAATAGGGGTGTAAGTATAACATCAAGGTTGTGTGTGTACGCCACACTGAGGGACTGATCACCTCACAACCTACCTCTATTACACAGTGATATTCGTGCACATCTGAAAGCTTCCTGGAGCTCTCCACCCACCACCTGCCACACATCTTGTCTCATATATATCTGCACACCCACTGAACCCGCTACAATATGCATATAAATTATGATAATTACGATAATTTATGTGTGGAAACACTTAAATGGTCATTATTTCTTATTCAAATTTTCTCTAAATTGAATTTTAAGAGGAAAAGTTTAGGACGTTATTAAATAAACGCTTTCCTGCAGATTTATATGACCTAACTTAAAATTAAAATGAACGTACAGAAACTGACGCTGGTAATGACGTAAGAAAGTTAACGTCGTTAAGTCTACGTTACTTGCCTGTCTCTTGTATGTCTTCCCCCCCCATCCCTTCCCTTCCTCTCTTCTCTTCTACCCTTCTCACATTCCTCTTGTTTCTCTTCAGCACTTTCCTTTATCACAGTCCTCTTGCTCCTCTTCAATTCTTCCCTCTCCCAAATTCTTCTTTCTCTTCAGTTCTTCGTTTCTCGTTTCTCGTCATTTCTTACCTCTACCCCCCCCCCTCTCTCTCTCTCTGTCGTTGTTGACAATTAAATTCCAATATTTCACACCACACAGATGATCATTTATCAGAAACACTCTAAGAAACCTCTGACAACCAGATCTCCCTTACTCTCCCTGCACTCTCACTCTCCCTTACTCTCCCTGCACCCTCTCAATAAAGCAGCTAAATTACTGGGAACGGTTGAAGTCCCCTGACTTGTACTTCTTGGAATACAGGCGAGAAAGAAATAATGTACACTTGGGAAATCTTACTTGGCCTAATCCTAAATCTGCGCACGGAAATCACTTCCCACGAAAGCAAAAGACTCCGCAAGCGGTGCAACATCCCCCAATGAAAAGCAGTGGAGCCATGAGTACGCTAAGAGACAACACAGTAAGTGTCAGGGCCCAAGACTATTCAACTGCCTCCCAGCATATATAAGGTAGATTACCAACAGACCCTTGGCTGACTTCAAAAGGAAACTGGACAGGCACCTATATTCAGTACCTGACCAACCAGGTTAAGGTTCGTACCTCGGTTTGTGTGCGGCCAACAGTAACAGCCTGGTTGATCAAGCCCTGATCCACCACGAGGCCTGGTCATGGACCGGGCGGCGGGGGTGCTGACCCCCGAAACACCCTACAGATATATTCCAGTTATAAGATCACATCAGCCGCAACACAGTGTACATTTCCACTACTGATAGTGACTACGCCGGAGGGGAGAGGCATGCTGGGGGAGGGGGAAGAGAGGGGGATGGAAGGGATGGCGTCGAAGACATTTATTGCTACTGTGAGGAAGATGGTGGGGATGGTGGAAGTAGGGAAGGTGGTGGTGGGGTGGTTATGGGGGATAAGGGGAGGGGTGAGGGTTTGTGGACCGGGCCACACTGCCTCGGTGCAATACTTAAAGCTGAGTTTAGGCAGTAGTAGTGTGACGCCTGAGCTCTTCTATGTACACTGAGAGCTACCACCTCCAACCATGACCCCTGGGAGCCACCACCATGACCCATAAGAGCCACCACCTCCAACCATGACCCCTGAGAGCCACCACCTCCAACCATGACCCCTGAGAGCCACCACCTCCATCCATGACCCCTGAGAGCCACCACCATGACCCCTGGGAGCCACCACCATGAGCCCTGAGAGCCACCACCTCCAACCATAACCCTTGAGAGCCACCACCTTCAACCATGACCCCTGAGAGCCACCACCATGACCCCTGGGAGCCACCACCATGACCCCTGGGAGCCACCATGACCCCTGAGAGCCACCACCTCCAACCATGACTCCTGAGAGCCACCACCTCCATGACCCCTGAGAGCCACCACCATGACCCCTGGAAGCCATCACCATGACCCATGAGACCCACCACCTCCAACCATGACCCCTGAGAGCACCACCTCCAACCATGATCCCTGGGAGCCACAACCATGACCCCTGGAAGTCACCATCATGATACCTGGAAGTCACCACCATGACCCCTGAGAGCCACCACCTCCAACCATGACCTCTGAGAGCCACCACCTCCAACCATGACCCCTGGGAGTCACCACCATGACCCCTGGGAGCCACCACCATGACCCCTGAGAGCCACTACCTCCAACCATGATCCTTGAGAACCGCCGCCATGACCCCTGAAAGTCACCACCATGACCCCTGGGAGCCACCTCCTCCAACCATGACCCCTGGGAGTCACCACCATGACCCCTGGGAGCCACCACCATGACTTCTGAGAGCCACCACCTCCAACCATGATCCCTGGGAGCCACCACCATGACCCCTGGGAGCCACCACCATGACCCCTGGGAGCCACCACCATGACCCTTGAGAACCACCACCATGACCCCTGGGAGCCACCACCATGACCCCTGGGAGCCACCACCATGACCCCTGGGAGCCACCACCATGACCCTTGAGAACCACCACCATGGCCCCTGGGAACCACCACCTCCAACCACAACAGTAGACGAACACTCATTCCTCAGGTTGTAATCAAACATTAACCAGCAACATGTTAAGACAAACATTAACCAGCAACATGTTAAGACACAACCATTAACCAGCAACATGTTAAGGCACAAAAATTAACCAGCAACATGTTAAGACACAAACATTAACCAGCAACATGTTAAGACATAAACATTAACTAGCAACATGTTAAGACACAAACATAACACAGTGCTTCCTAACACACCCATGACCTTTCCTGTAGGTGATACAGTACTTAAGTTAGAGTCTCCCCTCTTACATAAACACTTAAATGTTCAATCTGAACCTGATGATACTGACATGTTCCCCTCCCTCCCTCCCCTCCCTCCCTCCGTCCCTCTCTCTCTCTCTCTCTCTCTCTCTCTCTCTACTCTCTCTCCTCTCTCTCTCTCTCTCTCTCTCTCTCTCTCTCTCTCTCTTCTCTCTCTCTCTCCCTTCTCCCTCCCCTCTCTCTCTCTCTCTCTCTCTCCCCTCCTCTCTCTCTCTCTCTCTCTCTTCGAAGTGTCAGCTTCTTAATTACTTCCGCTCAATTTCAGTTTCATTATACTCAACAAAACGACT